CTTGTGCAGTGTCCTCAGTGACCTGTGTTTGCATGATTACTGCTATCATACTGTATCACAAGGATGTGGTGAAATAGCACTTTAATGAAACTTCTCTATTGTACAGTATTTCCAAACATTGTGGCTTCCCTGACGCACGGAACACATTATTGAGGTGACCGTGATACAACTTTGAAAACTGAAAACAACAAATTGATTCTGCCATAACCAAGAACCAATTTAAAGATCAAAAAGTTTTGTCGAGCCTGAAATCTATGCAAACTAATGAATCACTATTCAATGTCAGACTGGTATGATTACTGTATTTATATTGTAGGCTTCTTATGTTCATTTTCCAATCTGTTCATTCATAAAAGATACAAACAAGATACCCCTACTGATTTATATTAAGTTGAAAAACAACAGAATTCAAGAAGAAAAGCTCAGTTATGTTTTTCTATGTTCTATGTGTAGAATTTAGAGATGTTTTATTATCAGCATCTTTTTCATAAACTAGGCAGTTTTCAAGTACTCCCGTTTGATGGTGCATCTTTTATGTGGACTCCATGTGGTCCAAGCAGCCAATATTTATACAGGAAAGGAAATGTAATACACTGTGGTTTCTTGCTGCACACACTAAAAGGAGTACTTGTCATAACGCTGTCCAGTCTGCAGACATCGGCTTTATTTTAGTACCCAAATTTAAGCTCCCACAATGAAACCAGCAGGGATTGTTATGTAAGCACCCTGTCCCCTTTTCTACACCGTCAGATAATGCTATCATTTGCCAAACCTTTACTCAGAGTGAAGCGCATGCAGCAGTGATGAGTCTTGACATTTTTGTACATGCAAATGCGTGCTTACATATACTCTCTCAGCAGGAAAAGGCAGTTCTAAATTGAAGATTTCCACTACACACTCTCGCCAAGAACTGCAGAACAGTGACCAAGTACTTGAGCTCATATATGAAGGGCATATTTGCAGAGCTGGTAATGTCATTTTTCAAAGCAGCTGAGGGGGTCAAAGCACCCAGGTGAGCTGAATTTAGATCAGAACTGGATCACAAGATGCATAAAAATAGGTTTTCTTAGTCTGTCTTTTAACAGAGAAGAGCTACTTTGGTTTGACATTGAGGAATTTGACTGTAATACACTCTGAAAAGCTCACTTTGGCTGAATTTGTCAAAAGCAAGTGTAAAGAATGATTCATTTTCAGCGTTTCTGCATTCATGGTCAAAATCTAATTAACTTTCTCTTTGTATGTTAATCTGAAACTGTGATTCCCACAATTCCTTACTATTACAAAGAAAATATTGTTTTCAAATCTGGATCTCCAAGAGCATAACAGGTACAAACAATTTAGATAAAGGACTTCCAAGAGCCTGAAAGTGTCTATGTTTGCAAAAATATCCCAAAAAAACATCTCTTGGAAATGTAGTGTTGCATCTCTGCATCCTCTTTGCACAATATAAGGACAAACTTAAAATCCAAATGGATGACAATCTGAACTAAAGCTATAATCCAGTTTGTGAAGTATATATATTATCTATCACACCTAAATGACACAAGTTCCCCAAAATAGTTCTTGATGATACTGATGTCTGTGAACAGTACCAGTTTATTCCTATGATTGTTGCTTTTGTGCCTATTTTCAGCTTCTTGGGGAAACAGTTGTGGGAAAACTAAACCCAGGATTAGACATTAACACTAACCTACAATCTCTTTTCATATGTTTGGAAATATATCAATTGCAGGTAATATTTTGCAATACTTCAAAGTATTCAAATTTGCTCCTATTGTATGCTATGATATATGTAGCAAAGAAATATTTGAATGGAATTAAATATATGTATAGCCCAAATTAAACACCCATAAGAAAAGGGAAAGAGAGAGGGTTTTGGCTTTATATCTAAAAACAACGCCTGGATATCTGATTTATATTTATTTGCATTTTGTTTCCTCTCTTATCTTTCTTTTTAGAGCCATGAAACAAACAGAAAAAAGGATAATTTCATTATTTGTAGCAAATGTTTATTTTTTTTAAATAACTGAGGAAAGTTTTTAGTCATCTTTATCACTTACAGTAATGTAGTACTTAATCCAGGACATGCAACAGGAAGCTAGACAGCTAGACAGGAAGCTCACATTATGTTTTCAAGTTACTTCTTGCTAGTCAGGTGGTTGGGCCTTTTCAGATGAAAATGATTTTCTGGGTAATTTTCATGTAAGTTATTCCAGTAAATCATTCTGTAGTGAAAACCTGTTACAGTGAGCTTGACAATTAGATTACTGAACTATGTTGTGATATCAGATAGATACAATCTACGTTATTGTAAAGAAAGGAGGAACTGTTTTTTGAAATAGTTATTTTAAGTATAATATCCTATTTTCTTACAGTATTTGATTCAGACACCACATGCAATGCTAAAAAGTAAATCTAGAAAAAAACAAAAACGTCCCTTTTAGAGGACCGGACGTTTTAAATGCAATCATTAAGTTTTACCTTCACCCAGATCCAAGACAGCGAGTACAGCGCTGCTCCTTGCCTCTCCCAGGTGATTATTGGCGATGCAGGTGTAGAGGCCAGCATCACTGGGTTTGCAATCCCTAATCCAGAGCCCTCCGTACTCCTGGTTCTCCATGTTGAGGAGGTCATCATTGTGGTACCAGTACAGGGACGGCTGGGGGTCTCCAGCCACAGTTACCTTGAGACGGATGTCACAGCCTGTCCCCACTGCGGCGTTCCTCATTTTGCGTATAAAAACTGGTGGAGTTGGGGTGGGAAGACCAGGTCCTCGAGGTTCCGGGACAGCTTGCTCTGGGCTCGCTTTGGACCGCTTTGGGGGGATGATGGGGCTCGGGGGTGCCACTGCTTCGTCTGCCCCTTTTTTCAGGGTCATTTGCACCTCAGCTTTTCTCATGGTTGGACTGATTTGATATCAACTTACAATGGATTCTGTAAATGTGTATGTGGACTGTATGACTACAACACGGGCCAGGCCCTCTCTCAGTTTTCTAAACCAAATTCTACTGAGGGCATTAGAGTCTGTGAGCAGGCTTTACATATACATTACAGCTAACAAGGCTCTCACATTTTTCAATTATAGATAGTCTAACTCTTTTACTTGAAAAGCCAAATCAAAATATCTAGAAACACTTCCGCCATGGATAAATTCTCCTCAAATCACTGTGCTCTGACCTCAGTTGTTGTCCGAAGAAGAAAAATAAATTGTTGATTGCCAGGTAATTAAGCAGATAGAGTTAGCAGCCACTCTCCTGCCGAGAGGTATTTTTAGGGCAAGACCCACTGGATCATGTTGCATTAACAGCTCCCTTGACTTGTCTCTTGGAAGTGACGGCCCTGCTTTTCTCCTTCCCTTTTCCTGATCAGCCTTTTGTAACCATTTCCCAACAGAGTATGACTTCTCAAAACCTCTCCGCAGAAGGTGTGTGAATCTTGAGTAAGTTTCCTCTTTACTCCCAGCAGTCTTCAGGTCTGTTCTTGCTTGACTTCTGTTTGAATGTAAGCATCAAGTCCTGTCCAACAAGTTGCACAGTGCCCCCCCCAATCTCGTCCCATGAGCTAAACCACCCCACTCATGATCTCCCCCTACCTCTGCCAGTCAGTCCGAAGGGGGAAATGACAGTCACAGCCCAGCAAGCCTCACAATGACAGCTGCATGGTGATCCGTCTGCCCACTCACTGCTAGGCTCCCACCCCCTTGTCATTTTTAGCCAACCTGAGGTCAGTAGAACATGTGAGATGGTGCAACACTTAGCACAGAGGCAGAGGAGGGGCGAGTGGTCAGTATGGGACAGATATTTAATTTGTAGGTCAAATGTAGAGGCTGATAATTGCCTCCAGATTATGTTGAGGTGGTCAAATATCATGAAAAAGAAAATAGTATTACTGCATTAGCATTGCAAGCTGGCAGCTGCGGCCTTATAACAGATATTTTAAGTATCTTCTATATTTACTGACTAAGTTGAGGCGGTGCTGTGTAAAACACCTGAAAGACACAAAGAAAAGGATGAAAACTTAGTTAGCATTACTTATAAATCTTTATAAATGGAAATTTTTCAAGCCAACTGAAGTCAAATGATTCTTAATAGTGGAGCTCACAACAATTTAAAATATAAAACAACAGAAAATTGAACTGCAACTTATAACTTATAGCTAAATACTTTATTACTACATCCTTAATAAATGAACTAGGTGTTAGCTAAAGTTGCCAGAAACATACAAACCTGAAAGTGGACTATCTAATACTGCCACAAGCAGACAATCCAGTCAGACACCTTTAGCAAACATTAGCCTAAAGTGTTAGCAAAACTCAAAAACCAGTGAGATAAATATATTCCACATCAAATTCACATTACAGAATTAATATTATTATTATTTAGTAGTAGTAGTGGTGATGGTGGTGGTGGTCGTAGTAGTGTATAGAATATGCTTATTAGCTTATATTAATGTGTATGGATTTCCAGTAAAATACTATTTATAAAAACTGCAACTATCCATAGTAACTGGGTCTTTTTCTGGAAAGACTTTATAGAAAATACAAATAAATTGTTAATGCTATGGTTATAATGTAACATGCAACAAGCACATTCATTTAGTTGAATTAACCTGACCATGTTAGTTCTGATTTGGTTCTGTGGGAATCATTAAAGCTTTAAACCTGAATCAACTGTGGAAACAGACACGTAATGTAACTAAACTATCTAATTTAATTAAAATAATGTTCTTCTTCTGCTATAGTAGTGCCTGTTCAGCTGCACCTCCCAGACATCATTTTGTAATAAAACAGCACTTTCTTCGGTACATAGGCATACAACGTTGCCTCTCTGACCTCCAGTGATTGCTGTATTGTTTCTGCTGCAGTCATCACTTCTATTATTTCAAGCTGTAAAAAAAAAAAAAGAAAAAACCCCACTAGTTTCTAAATGGTCCCATCTTCTATCAGATGACTCAATGGTGTTATATTAACTGGAAACAGAGAGCAGTGTAAATGTTTATATAAAACTTTAATGATAATTGCAACTATACAAACACTACAAATTCTTTTCTTTAGCTAAATATACATAACATTCAAACAGTCTTACTTACAAGAATTTGAATATATTACTATAAACATTTTTAAAAAATACTGCTGCAGTTGATACAGTGCACATTGAGCTGGAAGTAAAATGCTTTTCAAATAAAATAGTTTTGGTAATTCACACATTCATACAGTACAGGTTTTACACAACAGTTTTAACTCCAGGTCCAAATCTAGCCTTTGTCCAGAGCTTTCAGTTGCATCTCAAGTTGTTCATCAGCGGATGTTTCTTCTTGATGTTGTGACATGGTTTTATTGTGAGGAAATATAGTCAAACCAAAAAAGTTGAAACTTGACAAACGTGTTTTCTGCAGTTCTCAAAACTAGGCATGTGTGAGGAAAGAAAGGGGATTTAAATGGGTAACCACAAAACATGTTTACAGCTTATTTTTAAGCAACATGACCCTGGTGTACACAGGATTGAAACCAAAAGTTACATAAGATAGAAGAAAAAACATTATAACAAAGTATTAAAACATATTTACAATATTAGCTAAATGCAAGGCATATTTAGTCAAATGTTTTTTTGTTGGTTGAGTTTTGAAAAGTCAACCAAATACAAGCTTCAATAGAAAAGTATCAAAACTAGTCATCTGTTGAGCAGAACCTAAGATCAAGCAGTAAACACAATGATATGATCAATTTAGCCGAATAGTTCAAAGTGCCTCTTCGGTATTCTCACATGAACGTGGATGTGATCTCTGATGACAGTGAAGACCTGGATCTCGTCAATGATGCTCTCTCCACGATGCCCATCTTCCTCATTATCTGCAGCAGCCTCCTTCTGAACTTCTCTCCCACAAAAGCATACAACACTGGGTTGACACAGCTGTGAAGCAGGCCCAGACTCTGGGTGGCAAACATGGCCTGATCCACCACCATCCTCGCTGGGCACTGGTACGGCACTATCTTTGACCTGAAGAATGTGTCTGTCATCACTGCAATGTGGTAGGGGGTCCAGCAGAGCAGGAAGGCGAAGACCACGAACACAATCACTCTCATGGCTCGATGCCGCTGGAGCCCTCCACGGATGTGAGAGAGGCGCTTGATGGTTACTCCATAACAGGGCAGCATGATGGCCAAGGGGATAAGGAAACCCAAAGTGTGGCGAAGAATTCTGGTGGCCAGCCGCCACAGGTCAGCACTGCTGGGATCATATTGTTCGGCACACACACTCTGCATGGAGTTTTGAGATAAGTAGGTAGAGTTGAACAGCCCCGGCAGAGACAGAAGTGCTCCAACAGCCCAGACGGCAGCACAAACCGCCCAGCTGACCCGCTGTCGGTTAGCCCTGCGCGCCTCCATAGCTCGCACAATCACCATGTAACGGTCCACGCTAATGCAAGTAAGGAAGAGGATGCTGGAGTAGAAGCTCAGCTCTTGGAGGATGGTGACAACTTTGCACATGGTGTCTCCAAACACCCAACCCATCATGACAGAGATGGCCGTGAACGGGAGAGTAAAGGCCACCAGGAGGTCGGCAACTGCCAGGTGAAGGAGGTAGAGGTCAGAGGGAGGGAGGGAGTGCGTGCTGAGGCCAATCACCAGCCCCACTACCATATTTCCAGGAATCGCCAGCAGAAAGATGAGGACGTAAAAAGCAGTGACACCAATCATCACTCCATGTGGCAAGATGAAAGGGTTGCAGGGCTGCGTTTCAGGGTTGGCGACGAACTCCGTGTAATTGTAAGTGAAGTTGAGCTCGTCGTATATAGAGCCGAAGTCTAAGACAAAAGAAGATGTGTTTGGATCTGAGGACAGCAATTAAAATACAATTTTAGTTATAAACCTGTTAACATAAGCTTAATCAAAATACTAAAGTTACTTTTTAACAGATCAGACTATATGTTAGTCAAAGTCAAAGTCAGCTTTATTGTCAGTTACTTCACAAAGGCAATCGAGAGGACGTTTGCTCACTGTGGTGAAACAGATAAAGTGAAACAGGCACAAACAGATAAGATCAAGACATTTTCTAATACTAAAAGTAAACATTCAATTTTCAGCAGCATAAAGACATTTACTAATGCTAAAAGATAAAAGAAAAGAATGGACAATAAAAAAAATATACAATAATATAAAATATACAATATACAATAAGTGCACAAAATAAAGCAGGCCAGGTCTGTATGGTGATCAGTGGTGATAATAATAGTAACTAATACATAATAGTAGCAATAGACACGTTTGTCCAGAGTTACAGGGTATACATACAAAGGCTGTCACAGCACGTCTTTACATCTACAGATGAAACTACAGAACAAACTAATGTGCCGTACAGTGTTAAAATAAATAGCATGAAACAGTAAAATGTCATTTTTATTGTTTCAAATTAAAAGAATAACCTATATTGCTTGATTTTATAGACTTTCCATCAAGATACTGAATTATAAATGTCCTTTTACATATTTAAGAGACACAGTAAAGGTTACAAATTGTTTGCTATGAATACATGCAATAATTAAATCAATTCAATCAATTTAAAAGCAAGTTTTTATGTAAGTTATTATGGGGATGCAAGTACTCACCAGTCATTGTGGTGTCTTCTTTGACAGAGGCAATGAATATGTCACAAGGACACAAAGAACAAACTATGTATGTCTCTACACCCCTCCCATCACCCTAATCATAGGTCCATTTTCCTGTTTGCCTCACACACACAGATTTGGATTTGCTCCACAATTCAAAAGTGACAGACATGATTTCATAAATCAAATTAAAAACCCAAACTTTAAAATATAGTTGGATGTATTGTTAAAGATGTCCTTTTCTCATATTTCTGTGGATGTAATACAAAACTACTTTTGTATATTAAAAGACATCATTAATTATATTATTTTTATCAGTTTAGTTGCATTTGTCACACACTATACTTCTACTTGTATTTGTAACCACACTTCTTGACATATTACTTTTTTTAAATCGATTTTTGTATTTCCAGTAATTCTTTGTCAAGGGTTTGTTGACTTTTTTACTTGTCACTGTTTGGTTATTCTTAAAACCATGGTGCTTCCCCATAAACAAACCCATGCCTCATTATCTGAATCATCTGTGTCATGAGATTTGATGTCACACTGTATGCATAATTGAAAGAGAAAGCATTAGTTCATGTAAAGTTTCTGAATTCAAAATAAACACTGGACAAATAATCAAGATATTCAAGAAATTCGAGTATATCAGAAATCTTTTAAGTCCCATTGTTACTTACATTTTGCCTGCTTCTCGAATTTTGCAACATAATCATGTGCTGTTTATTTGATGCCCTTGTTAACATATTTAAACAGACTGAACAATATCATATGCATATTTCCATAAATGTTGAAAATATTAGGTTAGTTATTTAATTTACATAACAGACCCTGCCATAGCTGATGGGGCAACGGGCAGAAACCTTTATCTGGGCCCCAACATCAGGGGAAATTTATAATACGGTAAGCCACATGATGCGACTACACTGCTGATTGACCACTGCTAAGAGGAAGTCCCAAGCTCATGACATTCATCTGTGTTGACACATGAGCGACTAGCATCACATTTCCTGCCACACTTCTCATGTGTTTCAACTTCCAGTGTCACAAGTGTTTCAGTTTTATCATAGGTGGAATTACACAAACATGTTTTGAACACATGGTTCAGATTCCCACGTGACTGCAGAGTTAAACATAAAAGACCGGGTTTTATTTCAAGTTATAAGTAGATTTACGTCGTCCTACAGCCCTGTTGCACTCTTAAATGCAATGTAGCTACAGTGACACACAGAACAATGACAGTGGCTTTGTTTCTATGCCACCCTACATAAGAGAGTTGTGCATTAGACTAAGCATGAGACTCATGAGTGACTCAGTGTGCGTCATATGTAAAATAATCTAAATTTAAGTAGCATCTCTACCCGCTCTGTGTTTGGACACACTGAAAATGAAGTGCAAGTGCATCGAAAGTGAAGCGGGGCACGTTAACATTCGGAGGTCATAAGTGCTTGGTGCAACAAAGGATATGAAGAAACAGGGTTTTGATGTAAGCAATGCATTGCTTTAAAATGGAATTAATGCAATGCATAGAATAGAAAAAAGGCTTTCGGTTTATAAAGAAAAACTGCAGTGAGAAAGGAAGTTAAATAAAAAAACAAAAAAAA